TTTTATTTTTCATGCAATACAAGAATCAGATAATAAAAGAACGGTCAACTTAATTTCGTGGTAATGCATGCTTTTTGACCATATCCCATGCCTTACGATTGAATTCAGTTCGATTTTTTGCATATTCTTCAGCTACTTCTACAACAAAGTAAAACAAAAGCATTGCTAATGAGCAATGATAACTGTTTAGAAAAAAAAGAATAGACTATCATTTTTTGAATAGTATAACTTAGTTTCATCGATACGTTCTACAATAGCTTTGACAACATCTAATAATGACGTTTTATTAGTCCACAGGGCAGTTTTTAACAATAATTAATGATAAAATTCACCTAAACAAATATATATATATATATATTTTTGAAGAACATATGCATATTTTACTTACCATCTTTTCCAACACTAGAATGATAGATAGGAGTTATAAAATGTACTTTCAGTGGATTTAATGGATAGTGGGGAGGTACTTTTATTTCAATTTGAAATGCACCTTCTTTAAATATGTCCGCATTAGGAAATATTCGTCCATTTATAACATGCTCTTCGATTCTACATCATCAATCATATCTTCTACGTTAAATGATGTTGTGTCTAGCTTAAATATGGCTGGTGGATAGTTTTAATGCATCTATCTGGGTTTTGAGGTATTCGTTTATTTTTGGTCGAGCCATCAATATTAATCTAAGCAAAATTCAGAGAAAAATATTAACATAGTTCGTATTATCTTTCTATGAGTGGATGGCAGCAGTGAGATTTTCATCATTTCATATGATCGGCATTAGGACTAAGTGTCCTATGAAATGGTAAAAAGTTCGTGTGAGTCATTGAAGAAGTCATCAAAGTTTTATCTCACTGTGAACTTGTGGGACACACTATACGTAGTATAGATACATTGAAGTGTGCCAAAGACTGTCAGTTACCTTACGGTATGCAATGCTGCCTAGCGGCCGATTCAATAACCCGATATCTTACTTGCTGCTTCAACTAGCTATAGCTTTGGACAGAAGATCAGTCTAACACTGACGAAGAAACTACCCAAAATGATACCTGTCTTTTCAGCTCATCTCATTAACCAGTCTACTGGACTTTTGATCTACCTTTAGATGTTGCTCAAAAGATTGAACAAGGTAACTTTCATCCGAAATCTTGTCTACAGATTGATTGAACGACTTTTAGAATATCCAGAAAGCTTCAGCCAACAAGCATGTTCTTTTGCTAAGATATTGAATTTAGAAGAACATTCGATTTTTATGCCATGTTTGTGGTAAAGGCATACTTTTTAAAATTCAATATATTGATGAAGAAACATTTTTTTGACTGAAACTCTCAAAACATTTTGTTATGACATGACATCTATATCTAACTGTTCATCTTTCTATTCTTTTCTTTCTTCTTCTCTGATGTTATATATATGCATGCGATACTATGTATCGGTGGTGATTCTTTAGTTTAAGAAATAAACAAACGTTTATGTGCTACATATTTGAACCCATGATTTGCCCTTAACATAAGTATAATAAAAGTAGAACATAACACATTCTAAGAGTCATTATACCCACACCCTAAGCAAAATTTTAGATCAGAACTTCGTTATTCAGTCTTCCTAGAAGCATCTGAAAAGGAATCAAAATTCATTAAATTGTTCATAGCTAGGTAACGAAGACCATTAGGTATAATATGAGCTCAAACGATAGGTGTTAATCAGAACAGTTCCCACGTTCGGGTGAATACATGTGCGTAGTTCGACGAGTCTTGCACACTCACACCCTCAGAATACAGAAGTCGAAAATAGAAGTAATGCACAAAAGGCATCGATTATTTATCTTCTTTTTATTGCTGCCTATTGTTTATGAGAATAACTAGTCAATAGGTACTTGTCTTTGTGATGTTCGTCTAATACAAAGATATATAGATGGGGATAATGTCGATGGTCAAATAATGTTTAAATGCAATAAGAACCATGTATTCTTTCTCATTTCTAATATTCTCTTTCTGTGAGTATCCCAAAATGGTTTTTTCCTGAGGAAAAGTTTTATTTTTACTCATGATGAAAAATTAAGATTGCTTCAGTGTATTCGATATGAGTCATACCATTGGTTTTATTCCATACTTATACGTCATATGATGACGTGAAATAAACCCATGAGACAGAGAACATACTTGTGATTCTAGTGTCATTAAGAATAACGTCATAGTGATTCATTTTCAAACATTGCTATTTGCTTCATTCGTCACAGGTTAATGTGGACAATATTAATCAGTACTTATTTTACAATATTTAATATCTCCATTGAAAATATAAAATTTATAAATAATCATATGGAATAAAGTACATTTAATATATACAATAAAGTAATCACTAAAATATGTTTTTCTTTGCCATTAGATTTTAGGAAATAATTCAATTGCAGCAGAATTTTTAGTAGGAATATATAGTAAATTATGCAGATAATTGTAATTTTGATTAAAAAGCTTTTATAAACCACTATGATTTTTTACTATTTCTTTTCAATCATAACAGCATTTACATTTCTTCACCTTCTTCCTCTTCTTATAAATTGACATATTTACATTAAATGGCTTGAATCGATTGGTTAGTCAACAGTGGACACGTTCATATACATAGATATATACTTCTAAAATTTATTTATTTTTAAAAACATAAATATCGGCATAGACTTTGCTCAATGTGCCTGATTGATTTGATGATGTAGGGTATGGATGTGAGCTGTAGATGCTGAATCAACACCTACGCCTTATGTCTTCCGGTTCTGTAAGTTGTGAGAGTTCTGTGGAATCCGTGTTCTGTGGTCGCGCCAATCTTCATTATGTAAGCATAGTTTCAGTTCCAAGAGTTTCAGTAGTTTAGAACTTACGGAGTCCGGTCACGTCTCAAAAAGGTTGATACTGAGAGATTTGGAAAATAAAAAGCCTCCAGTTTATTGTAATTAGAAGACATTAACAGTTGTCTCTTGATTTTTCTCTATTATTTGTTTAATTTATAATTGGAAAAATAAACCTTCAAAATTCAATATTATATTCAATGACAAAGTCTTTTGATTACTTTTCAACTTGATCAACAATTGTCAAATTTCTATCGGAGTCTAACGCTATTTATCGATTCTTTTTCTCGAAATGCCGTAGTTGATCAAATCTCTGCATTGCTTTCGAAAATTTGTTTAAAAATTATCAACAAGGGCAAAAATATTCTTATCTTTGGCAAAGTTTTGCAAGACAACGGGCGTTCTAGTGAAGAACATTGGTGCGTAAAAAGGAAAATTTTCATGTCCTATTCGGCATCGGCAGGAAAATGTTGACTCGATGGTATTCATCTCAAAATCTATTACAATTGATGAAAATTGAAAATAATTTTCAAGACTTTTGGAAAAAAGAACGTTCATTGATGACACTACTCTGTAAATTGATTGATTTCTAATCGATTCTATCCTACCAGCAACATATTCAATGAGCCAAACATATGAATATAAAAATACTCATTGTCTAAATAGTGGATATCTTTTCACTGATGAAAATGAAAGAAGTGCTCTCTATCTTTCATTAAGGAATGTCTCTTATTCCGATTAAAGTCCTAGCCTATTGAGCACGTCATTTGAATTTTTCCTGCCGAAAAAGCAATAAATCTTCGATTACAGTCAATGTTACTGATGAACTGATGCTTGCATCGGCACAATATTCACTGTCGAAATGACGACATTTTTCTGCTGACAAAGACGTGAAAGGAATTTCTCGTTCCTACCACAACATTTCTTGTTTTCGATGCGACCACATCATACGATCATGCATTTCAATAGTTTCCGTAACGCCGAAAAAAGTGTCGGCTCGTAGATATCATTGTATCGACGGAGTTCATGAGAAAATCTCTGTAGCTATAATCTAACTGTTCGTGTTATTCTAGTGACTAGAATGTAGAAGAATTCTTAGCTACCATTTAATGTCTTTCTCTTTTTCACATCGAGGTAATGGTGCAATTAATCACTTCAGTTGGTCATGTAACATGCAAAAACATCAAATTGTCAATACCACACTGTTAATCAAAATTCATGAGATATTTTCTCACCGTACTCATTTTAAATCGACGATCGATGGCAATAGAATCGAAATATTTGTTCTTACCAATCCATGCTCGGTTTTTGTTCGATACTATTTGCAAACAACTCGTGCCGTCACTCGATCAATGACATAACGGAGTCTGCCATCAAATTGGCAGTATTATGCTATAAGCCACAATACGAGGAGAATTTTTAGGCATCATTATTATATTTCTCTTTTCCAGATAGAATGAATTGTACCAACGATCAGCTTCCAATGAAGAAAGGGAAAAAAGTATCCAACGAGAAACATCATTATGGCGAAGGTATTTCACGAGAAATTCTCTCATCTAATCAACGGATCTGTCAATTTTTACTTCATACCAACGTGTCTGATGATCTGATTGTTTGATTATAACAATATTGATCGTCAAATCCTTGATACTGTTGCGCGAAGGAGATCACAATTTTAAGATCAAATCTCTGCTGTAGCCGATAATTTTCTCAACTGTGACCGTTTTCATTACAGAAGTAATGTGTTTAGAGAACAGACAAATTGTCGATTCTTTTCAGTCGACAAAATGTAAGAAGGATTTTTTCACTCATTCATATCTTCTTTACAGTTTGAATAAATTGTACAATCGAAAATTTAAACCACACGAGCAAAGCGTCAAAAAAAAAAACGTCGAATATTTTTTCTTTTCAAACCCTAATATCTAGTATATGGATCGGTCCGACAATAAAGAGTAAAAAGTGCTATATAAGAATGATATATGCTATTTGATAATGCATTTAATGACAAAAAACGATCACAAAATATTACAGTGCAGCTTTTTTTTTACCAACTAATCCTTTGATGATCATCGTTTTTTTTTCTCCTATATATTATAACTTCAATAAACAAAAAAGCCATTTCATGCTATTTGAGATTGCCTATTTTCATATATTAAAATGATGAAAATTGCACTGAGTTTGTTATTATTTTGTCTTTGTAACCATTTGGGGCGATGTTTACAACCTTATTTTCCGTCTCAAATTGTATTTTCACCTGATGATGGTAAAACAACAATTGCAATTGATGAAATAAATCAACGAGCTTATTTAACATATCCTGTGAATTCTCTGATGAAAGTTAGTGCTTACATTATGCAAAACTTTCCATATGCAGTGCCCGATTCGCCACAATCAAAACATTATGTTTTCTTAGCCACAACTTCCCTAATAAATTTGTGTTCATATGAAACATATTGGAAATATGGTGCATATAGACTCAATCAATTTCCATTACATTGGGGTAATGATAGTTCATATAAAATACGAAATTATGTGAGTTTTAATTCTGAAATGATCCATTCAAACAATTCTTCTGAAGATGAAGATTATTGGTATTCAAATGCAACATGTTCCACAGATAGTGGAGATAAATATCCATGTCAAGAAATATATTTTAAGAAAAATACGGATCTTCCACTTCGATTGGTTGAAGTTCAACGTTCACCATTCTCAGCTAAGCGTGTAATAACAAATTTTACAATTATATCAATAGGAAAACCAGATGACAAATATTTTGATTCAATACCAAAAGATTGGTATGTCGGTTGTCGAGATTTTGATCTCGGAGTTTTATATGATCCAACATTAATAAGACTAAGCGTACAACAAAGTGCAAAAGTCCAAGTTTGGCTTTCTGCTCCTCCACATGAAATTAATGGAAATGATACTGTTACTATTCAATGGAAAACATATGAATGCACTGATTGTTTTACATGGACGCTAAAACAAATTTCTTTTAATAGCAAAAATTTTCAAAAAAGACAAACATTAACAATAACGCGTCTTAGAATTTCAGAACAATCAATTTTTATTCCCATTTTGAAGGGTGGAGCGTTTGATATGATTGAAGCTGCGACTTATTCCTTATCTATTCGATAAATTTCTTTCTTTTCATTTGGAATATCTATCGAATAAATATAAAGTTTCATTCACAAGAATATTTCAATGGTGTACTTACACAGACTGTTGAGATACAAGAGCAATATTTCCAGTAAGATCTTACTCAAACACTCTTGGAGAATTATATTTATTTGATGGTGTGTGAGTGTGGTGAAACTACACACTCAGGGTGTGGGTGTGGGTGTGGGGTGTGAATCTGGTCTGGATGAAGTCAAGATCCAATCTCAGACCCACACCTACACCGTCCCCGCAAGGGATTGCGCTAACAGCTTTTGTTTATGTTTGCGCATTTATCGAGTTTTTACAAGTCATACATAGATGATAAAGATTAGCATGATTATAACTGATTGATAGTTATGACAATTGCCAAGTTAGAAATGACTCCTTGAATAGTTATGTCAACAGTGATTGATGAAGAATCGGAATTTTATACTATCCTGTCAATATTCAGATCTGATCAATATGTAATAAGCAAACTCAATTACAAATATCTCCCTTTGTATTGTGCACTTCAGGGGACGTGAGAATCATTGCGGACAAGACTGCATCCAGACCATGCCCACATTCATTCTACAAAAATATGAATATCAAGAAAAATTCAAATCAACCCATATCGCTCAAACCGCCGATTAACTGCGGTTCGCCAGCTAAAGTTTTTCGCGTATCATTGTGTGTAAATATTTTTGAACTCTTAAAAAATTGTTAGAATTATGCTGAAATCGTCGCCTCTTATTTACGCAAATACGCTGAACCCGCCGGTACCATCCATATATGCTATATTTCCTTGGTTTTCGAGTATAGGCTTTTTTTAAAGATGCCGCTATAGAAATAGTTCTTCGTGAGGTAACTAAACCAATACAAAAATCATTAGAGTCATCTGAAAGAATTTTACTATTCCATAATTATCTAAACTTTTTTGAGTTACAATCGACTTTTTCAAGAGTAAAAATATTAATTTAGCAGAAAAATTATTAAAAAATCGATAAGCAAATAAGAACCGCTCTGAACGGGCGCCTTTTTTATGAAGCGCCCGTAACCGGTGATTTTAATGGAAAATCGACAATATGGGGAGCCTTCAATATAAAAATCGAAAGATACCACACAAACTAAGACAAATCTTACATATGTTTTATAACAAAATATGCTTAAATTTCAAAGCACTTTACTTGATTCATTGTTGATTCCTGTTTCAAGCTGCAGTGTTACATGCACAGGCTACAAAAATAACTCTTATGACTTGCTAGAATCGATGAAAGAGTGAACAAACCAAAACTTTTGAAAGATCAATTTACTTTCTCTAACATTTGGTGCATGATTTTGTTATTAGTCTTTCTAGTTTCTTTTAAGTTTGAAATTGAAGATAAGATCAAAAGATTTTCAAACTGTCATAGTCTTGAAGACCTTTTTGATCTCTATTGGAACATGTAAAAATATTTAGACATTTAACCATTGCTTTAAGATGTTGCAGACATATTTTGATTTTTTCTGAAAATATTAAGTAAAAGTTTTCAATCAAGATTAGTAAAATCATCATAAAATTATAGTAGACTTATGTATTTCAATTTATTTTATTTCAGAGGATAACTCTAATCTTTCTCTCGAAGATGACATCAGTTGACTGATAACTTCACAGTAGTTTTATCCTTATACATGTCGTCGATTTTCTGAGAAAGATCGAAGCTTTTGGATCACCCTTTCATTTCTTCGGTCGTATCATATTTATATACATTTTATCGATTTTCATTGAGAGTTAATCAGGGAAAAAGGGAAAATGATAATAAATGTTTATTTTCAATTTTCAGTATTGTTCACATAGGACTGTCAATCATAAGAAAATAATTGCTTTTCTTATAGAATAAAAGTTAAAAAAATTTACTCCACAATGTTTTAAAATTTCCCATATTCCACAAAGACATCAGACGATGTTTTATTGTACTCAAATCGTCAATGGTTTCTTTGACTGGTGTGATTGTATCAACTTTTTTTGCCATGGAATTCTCTAACCATTGAAAACCTTCACGAAGACCTTCATTTTGAATAGCACAAGCTGGTTGCAAATGCCATTTAACATTTTCATTAAATGTAGTTAAACTCATTTTCTCTTGTATTTCATCCGATGACATTGGATTGGATAAATCTTGTTTATTAGCAAAAATAAGGATTGGCTTATTTTGAAATTCTTCTTCTTTCGATAATTGAAGAAGTTCATCACGTACTTCATTAATTCGTTCTCTATCAGTTGCGTCAAGAACAAAAATCAGTCCGGAAACTCCACGATAATAAATTCGTCGGGAAGCACGAGTTCTTGAACGCCCACCCTCTTCCATGATCAATAGAGAAGCATTGTTAACTTCTATTTTTACAAAGTCTGGACCAATTGTTGGATTAGCCACAACATTTTTGCCAAATTTTGCGACGTTGAGCACAGTTGTCTTCCCTAAATAAAGAAAAGGTACAAAACAAATATGGACGTTCTTGGTGCACAATCAACTTGTTACTCATCATGATACTAATTTTCCTACTAATTCATTGCATTTTCTCAAACATAAAACACTTTCATAGAGTCACACAGAAGAAACATTGCTACTACAACTAATAGCAAATAATTATATATGAGCTGCAATAGAAATGTAGTGTTCGGAAAAAGAAATCAAACAGAAAGTTTATTTTCATCAAAAACCACTTATAAGACGTCTGTTTCGTAGAACATATGATTCAAAATATTTGTGTCAAAAAGTGCACAACTGCTCAACAGAAATTTTTATGAAATCTTTCTGTCAAAAAACAGCTATATTATGGATTTTGGTTATGAAGCAAAGTCTTAAACCTCTGGAGCAAATCATGGTCTGATGAATTTTGTTATGCTATCAGTCTAAGTCATCAAATATTTTTTCTAACGCTTTTTTTGTGTACTA